ATTTAAGTATTGTGATGAAGGACTGGTAGTAGAATTTTCACACAATCATGTGAAGAGAGCTGACGTTTCCATTGCATTTCACAATCCTTCATTACCTTTAACGAAAATTGTGTGAATACATCTTGTCACCAGAACCTCACATGAACCATTTTTCATCATTATCACTTGGAGCGTTGCCACACACACACAACCATATACACAATCGTAAGTGAGCAAAGTAGCATGTCGAACATGACAAATGATTGGGGACATTTGAAGGGAAAGGATGAGTGGAGAGGCAATGGTACCAAAAGAGGTAGTGACTCACTGGGCCCAGCTGAACGAGCGCATGTGCTCCTTGTCGACGAGGCTGCGAATGGCGCCTTTGTTGATGAGCTCGACGCAGCGACCGTCGTTGAGCCCAAAGCCGTCGACCGCCGCCCCCTCCTCCTCCAGCCTCGTCGTCGGCGTCAGCGTCTGCGTCGGCTTCGCCGTCTGGCAGACGAGAAACTGCGTGGGCAAATTGAAGTTGTGCGTGTAGCGAGCCTGTAGCTCGGCCTGCGGCACTGTCGAGTGCATCCACAGCAACCAGGCGTCGCGTCCTTCGATCCGGTCGTCGTCGTCGTCAACGGTGACGGCGTCCAACTCGGCCGGCGACAGGTCGGGTCGACTGTCCGACTGGTCGCCGTAGACGCGCACGGTTTGCACAAAGTTGCGAGTCCCGCCGACGTCGAGGTCGAGCTTGAAGTGGAAGAGGTGGTGGTGCATGGCGAAGAGCAGCGGGAATCGCGGCGACTTGTAGCCGTAGCCGAAGCTGCGTCGACGGCGACGTCGAGACGGGCCGGCCTCGTGGCTCGCCTCGACGTGGACGTAGCCGGTCGGCGTGACGGCGAACTCGATGACGCCCGACGCGTGCAAGTAGACGTCGAAGAGGTAGTCATAATTGAACAGCGACGACACCGTCCGGATGACCAACGCTCGGCCCAACACGCCCGACGCGAATCCCATCTCCGCCGGCGTCGCCGTCGCCGTCGCCGTCGCCGTCGGCGTCGGCGTCGTCGGTGACAGCTCAAAGTGTCGCCGTTCGGGGGCGCCGTTGGCGTTGGCCAACCACTCGAAAAGACAGACGCCCTGACGCAACTGACGCGGACCGCGGCCCAACTGAGCCGCCACCAACCGGACGGGCAGGTAGACGGCGTGTCGGGGACAGTCGAGTCCCGGCGCCAGCTCGGACAGCATCTCGCCGACGCCGTACATCGACTCGACCGAGGTCATCTGGCGCAAGAACGGCGACTCGCCCCAGTACAGCGTCACCGTCTCGTCGAGGCCCGCCTCGGCGGCCAGACTGACGCCGGCGAAGTGGACGTTGAAGAGACGCAAGCCCGTCTCCCGGCGCACCGCCAGGTCCACCTCCCAGTCCATGAAACGCACATGCCGGCCCTGCACCGACAGACGCCGTCTCGACATGCCCCACGCGTCGCCGGGACACGCCGGTCCAGTCGCCGTCGCCGTCGCCGTCGCCGTTGCCGTTGCCGTTGGCGGCGTTTCAGCGGTTCGAGTCGTGTTTTCGGCCGACGGCAGCGACCGGTTGGCGGCCGCGCGAGCCGCCTCCATCGTCTCTTCGGGGTACAGCTCGACAAACGGCCGCGGCGAGAAGCTGAGCTGGCCCGAGTGGAACAGCTGCATCAGCGTCGCCACGGACGAGTAGAACCGGCCTTGGAACCACACGTTGACAATGTACCACTCGTCGGGATCCAGAGTCGTGTGGTCGATCTGCACGAGTCGAACGGGAAAGTAAAGGAATCAAAGCGTCTTTTTTTTCCCTTCACAAGTGGCCTTCATGCTATTCCGTTGAAGGCGATGCATGACACAATCGCGTCTTTGGAAGGCATAAATCGGACAATATAAATGAGCATGTCAAAAAA